ACCGGGTCAGCGACCAGTGGCATGTGAAAGAACGCGAGCGCGGCACTTACCCAGCTTGAGGACAACCGTCAATGGCTTGATGCCCCTCATGGCTACAACAAATATCTCCGTGTCAGTGAAAGACGAATACGTATGTGCATATACTGGCGCGCGGAAGCAAGTCAAGACGCAAAGAACAAGACCAGTAATGACGACGAATCCATGTAAATGGAGTGAATTGAAGGCACTGAAAGGCAGGAAACCTAAAGGGGCGGAGAAGCAGAAACCGAAAACATCGCATCTAAGTATGAATCCACGGCGAAGGCTTCTTACATGCAGTGCCACTTTCGTTCGCCATGGTCGGTCCAGTCAAGTGCGATCAAGTCCTTGTTTGCGGTGGTAGTGATATGCAGGAGGATGGATCAGGGGACGTCTTGGTGTGTCGATTCCCCAGGTTCCCTTTGGCCCAGCAAGGCTTCTTGGGGGGGCAGGCAAAGGCGGGTGAGGCAGGCAAGGCGGTAGACGTCAGGGTTGGCGTTTTCGCATTTTTTGAGTCAGCGTTGTCCAGAGAGCCTCTTGGATTGGTGAAGACCCAAAAGTGGACCGACATCGGGGGGGGGGGGACATCGGTTGGACGACCCCGACCCTCCCGAAGCTTTGCACCACTGTCAGTTTGAAAAGGTACCTAGAGACCGAGAGTGCGCACTAAAAGCCTCTGACGACATTTGCCCAGGCTATTCTCCGCGCCTAGAGCGCCCCTAAATGTGCCGTCTCACCGCTTGAAAACTGGGAAGCCCGCCCGGGACCCAGGGCCGTGCATGAGGGTCCCGTCCACCGTCAATAAGGTACTTCCGGCCCGGCCAAAGCCACCTTTCGGCCGGGCCTCCGCCCCACCCTTAAGGTACCTTTCTTAGGCCCATGTACTTGTACTGCTGAAGGGCTTGACCAGGGGAGCGTGTACGCTGGCAGAGAATCGACGAACCATGCAGGCACGACAGGCTCCATCCATCACAGATCACCATCCACCATCGCCCGACCTGGACGTTCAACGCATCAGACCATCGCGACGGGCTGTCTCACACAAAGTGGCACCGAATTGTCATTGCCCTCATCCGACAAACACACTCTCGCTTCTACCGCCTGCTGACGCTCGGGCATACCGCGACATCCTCGTCTTCGCCAGAGGCGCGCATCTTCACCATGGCCTCTCCCACCAGCGCTGTCAAAACCGCTGCCCTACCGCTCGACACCACGATACCGCCAACTCCCTCCTCGTCCACGCCAACCTCCGCAAATCCTACCGAGCCGCGAGTCCTCCACAATGATCCCGCCCGCACGGGTTTCGACCCGCAGACGAAGTGGTGGGTCAACTACTTCAACATCCTCACCGGCAACATGACCCGTGAGGGCCAGTTCCACTACCGCGAGCACCGCTACCGCGTCAACGAGGAGCGCGACATCCGCCGCGTCGAGGCCGACCGCGACTGGCTCTTCGCCTACTCCCCGACCATTCGCTTCATGCGCGAGAAGATCGAGTCCCTCAACGGCACCCTCGACGCGACAAACGTCGTCTGCCGCCGCTGCCCGGCCCGCCTGACCGAAGACGGCGAGGTCCATCGCCAGAGCGGCGGCTTCAGCCCGGCGCACGGCATCCTGATCTGCGCCAACGAGATGCGCGATCGGAAACACCTCGAAGACACGCTGGCGCACGAGATGGTGCACGCCTGGGACCACCTGAGGTGGCAGGTCGACTGGCTGGGCGACATGGAGTTGAAGCATGCTGCTTGCACAGAGGTAGGAGAACCCCAAGGACCACGCGTGGACATGTTCAAACTGTGACAATGCTGATGAGGCGCAGATTCGAGCGTCAATGCTTAGCGGCGAGTGTAGATGGACAAGGGAAACATTTACCAGAGGGAACTGGAAGTTGTCACAGGGCTTTCAGGACTGCGTGCGGTCCAGGGCTATCCAGTCTGTCATGAACAGGCCGCGATGCAAGGACGATGTCCAGGCGACCAAGGTCGTCAACCAAGTGTGGGACTCGTGCTTCGCCGACACCAGGCCGTTCGACGAGATTTACAGGTGATCGTTTGGCTCGAGGAGGAAAGATGAGTTTGTACCATATCATGTAGGTGATACCACGGACGAGTTTTGGCGGGCCGGCAGGCATTGATGTGAGTGTAATGAAGATCTCTCCGGATTATTGTATGCAGAGTGCGAAGATAACGAACCCAACTCCCCAAAAGAATATGCACAAACCAATCCGTTGTTCCTGATCCCTGTTCACTGCAAATGAAAACTCGCACGACTGACTCCTCCATAACGCCATTATCCTACATCCATCCGGACAGACTATTTACCCTCGTCTTTATGTGGCCCGCTGGTGCGTAATTCATCATCTCATTAAGTCGAGTATTTCTCGCGGTTGGCCGCCCGCTCACCCTTGATGCAGTGTTTGACGATCCAAGGGTGGCTCTGGACCTGCTCGAGGGGAATCCTCTTATCGGGATCGAGAACCAAAAGCTTTCAACCGGTTAGCAGTGTTTGGGGTTCCGGGACGTGATGGCCACTCACTCTCTTGATCAAGTCCTTTGCCTCCGGGCTGACAAATGAGGGCACCGTCATGTCGGCCCTTGCAATCCTCCGCTGTGTCATGACGGGCGAGTCCTCAAAAGGTGCCTCGCCGACGAGGAATTCGTACATGAGCACACCCAGACTCCACAGATCGACCTTTTCGTTGTAGTAGTTGTCCGAGCTACCGGGCTTGATCATCTCGGGAGGAAGGTAGTCGAGAGTTCCGCACATGGTGTTGCGTCGGTTGTTGGGCGCATGCACGCTCCAGCCGAAATCAGAAAGTTTGAGCTCGCCGTGGATACCGACGAGGATGTTTTCGGGCTTGATATCCCGGTGAATAACGTGCTTGCGGTGGAGATAACGGAGCGCCGAGGCCATTTGCGCTACGTACTGGGCGGCCTTCCACTCAGGGAACTTGTTCTCGCGACGAAGATGCTTGTAAAGCTCGCCCTTGCCGGCGAATTCGAGAATGAGGAAGACTCGCTTGCTGTCGTGGAAGTGTCCGTACAACTGGAGAATATTGGGATGCCGCAGGTTGCTTTGAATCTCAATTTCCCGTCGCACCTGCTTCTCGACACGACCTTGTTGAATCTCGTTCTTGTGCAGAACCTTCAACGCGCAGATGAAGCCGGTAGTGCGCTCCTTGGCGAGGTAGACGCGACCGAACTTGCCTTTGCCCAGGGGACGGCCAATCTCGAACATGCCTAGGTGGAACTGCTTCGGGATGCTGGGCTCAGCGACCATGGTCACCGCCTTGCGCTCGACCTCGACAACCTCATCAGAGCGTGATGCAGCCGAAGAGGGGAGGGGCTTGCGGGGAGGAGATGTTGGGTTGTGGGCTTTTCGCTGTGCTGCTTGCGAAGGAAGCGTCACGGAGGCAACGGTGTTGGTGTTTTGGGACTGCAGGGCGACCTTGAATAGGTTGGCTCGGCTTGAGCTTTGTGGCAGTTGGGAGGTTCTGACAGATGCAACAGCCTAGACGACATCGTGTCAGTATATGAAGTCGATCCAAGCTATCGTGAACTCTACCTGTTGCTTTGAGTAGATCTTGGTACCATCGCCAGAATCGTTCTCGTCGTTCACCGTCATGTGCTCGAATCGAGCCTCGAGCGTTCGAGTAGCCATGGCTTCGATTGGCAGAGAAGACAATCTCTGGTGGTGGATGATCACTCGAAGACCTGAGCCAGATGCACTCACGTCCTGGACCTGTGGGTTAGTATTTGAGGGCGGCGCTGCGACTAGGTAGAGGTGAGAGAGCTAACATCAGCGATCGTCTGTAGCGGAGTTATACAGGGTACCTTCACTACTCGGCCCCAAACATTCGATTTGGTGTAGTTGCCGGGGTGACAGTGTCACGTGTGCCTATTCCGCAACCCAGCCGCCAGACCGCGCCCCCACTCCATTTCACCCGCTCGATGGTTGAGACATCCCTTATTATATCCTTGCAACATAAACAACTTCATATCAGTGCGACCCGCACGGAGATATCTCTAGTTGTAAAGGGAGGATAAATTAGCTGCTGCATAGGCATCCCCTGCGGCTGCCAACTAGGCCGTCGTAGCCTCACCTTGCATGTTATCAAAAGTGCCCTGGCTCAGATTCAATCTTTATTTCTGCCCGTGACACAAACGCCGGGTACCTCTAAAGTTGTCTTCAAAGATCAGCGGAGCTCCGACGAGGTCTCACAAATGATTGCCATGAAGCGAGCTGCTGCCTCGACTGCCGCGTCAGCCAAGATCCATGCGGGTCCTTGACACAGAGCCAGCTGAGGTTGAGCTGGTTCACTCGTATGGTTTGCTCGATGAACGCAAAGGTATGCTTGTTCTGTCAGACAATGTTGACAGTCTGCATACGGAACAATGGGAAAGCTACGTCGCTAAGTTTCAAAGGGCACTGCAATGCCCAAATCAAACAAAATGTAGGCCTGGGCAGCTCGCGGCGTTTACAATATCCTGCGCATTGAGCAAGACAGGCAGGGCCCAGCCATCATTCTCCATTGTTGGATTCTGCTGTTTTCCAATCTTCCTCCTGACTCGAAGTCTCTTGACTCCAAAGACCAAAAATCGGCCATCGGGGCCTCACCATGCCCATCGATGACAAGGCTGCCGAGATGACCCCACGTTTGCGCCACGATACTGATCAGCTGGACGTAGTACGGTATTAGGAGTAGCATTGTGTGGCAAAGACCATCGGTCCGCCCCATGGTGGTATTCAATCAGATAAAACTCGAGGTACAGTAGGTACTAGCTCGGTGGGCTTTCGTGTGCTATAGTGAGCCGGCAAACAGGGGTCTCGTGCTTCCCCGCCAAACCCCACTACCAAGCTCGTCAAGCTCCATGGCTGCAAACGTGAAGGCAGTCCCTAATTCATACATCGCAACAACACGATTAAAAGCACGATCAGTCATTTGACGCCTTTCTCGAAGCCCTCGCGGACCAGGCGCAGTCATGAATCCAATCACCGCTATCAACGAGCCCTTCCCGACGCCGTCCATTCAGGGCGCCGTCGACGCCGCGACAACCACCCATCCCCAGGGCCGCTTTCGCATCGCGACCCGCAAGCTGCCCATCTCCAAATCGGGGCCCATTGACGAAATGACAGAACGTCTCAGCATCCCCGTCCCCGAGATGATATTCGGCGATAACCTCGTCTCCCTGACGCACGCGCCCTCAGGCTGGTCTCTCGCCTTCAACGCCTACGACGCCCTCGACCACGTCGACAAGACCGAGAAGAACATGCTCCAGGTCGCGTACGCCCGCGACTGGTCCAGCAGTCGCGAGAAGACAAGCGCCGGTATCAAGGAAGTTGTCAAGCCGTATGACTGGAGCTACTCGACCGACTACGACGGGACGCTCGCCGCGGGCGCGCAGGCGTTCCAGCCCACGACGAAGGAGATCCCGCTCGAGTTGCTGAAACGCCGAGACCCTATCCTCTTCTTTGACGAGGTCATGCTGTACGAGTCTGAGCTTGACGATAATGGCATTTCCATCTTCAGTGTCAAGGTGCGGGTGCACGAGCAGCGCATGCTGCTGTTGTGCCGGCTCTTTATGCGGTTGGACAATGTGCTCGTGCGTATTCGCGACACGAGGGTATACGTGGATTTCGCAGAGGACTATGTGCTCCGCGAGTATACGGCAAAGGAGGACAGCTGGGCCAATGTTAAAAGAGTGAGTCGGTTGTGTCGAAACACCCAGAGCGTGGCAACTAACGAATGTGACGCAGTCCTTGTTCATGTCTGGCCGGCTACCAGACGACATAACGATCGCGCTTAGAGACGCAAACCTACTGTCCACTCTGCTGCCGACAGTGGGCCGAAAGATCGAAGAGGTCAAGCTGTCTTAAAATGGGTTTATTTCGGGCTTGAGGCATTGCCTGGCGTTGAACGGCGTTCCCAGGGTTTGGGCAGAATTGCTTACTTCGAATCACAAATGGAAGGGTCAACAAGGACTGAACGGATTCATGCTTAGTTGTATTCGCTCATGTGTGCCTCGGACGCGAATCGCAGACTTGTAGGCATTTAAAAACTCCGTCTCCAAACAGAAATCTTCCAACCGCCCACAAAACCCGAAAATCACCGGCAAGCCAACCATACAACCATCCGGCCTTGTTGTTGCAGAATCTGAAGTAACGACTCACTCCATGTGTCTCTGACTCTTCATCAACCTTGACAAAACCCAATCAGGGGAGCGCATCGACTTAATTCTCAGCTACCCATCACCGCGCGCCGCTCGGAGACGAGCTTTGAGTCAACTCCTCGAACTCGAGCTCCCATTTGTCGACTTCTTTGAACTTGGTCACAGCATTCTTCAACTCGTCGGCTCCAGTAACGTCTCCTTCTTCGGGCGTTGCATCGAACGTGTCGTCGGGTGCTGGGCTGAAACTGCCCTCCTCTTCCTCATCATCTGTGTTCTCCTTGTCTGACGATCGACGGCCATATGTCCGCCTGCGAGCAGCGGGGGCACCTGCCGTCGTCGCGACAGCTCTGGTGCTACGTGAAGCAGGACGGTTGGTTGAGCTACGCTTGAGCGGTGTCGTTCGTGCGCGTCTTCGAGATGCCCTGGCATCAAGGTATGAGAGCTCATCGTCATCTTGGCCCAGGCCCGAGTTATCAACCTCAGAGTCCGACCCTGCGTCATCTTCCTTCCGTCGCCGACGGCGGGGAAGCAGGCCGGCTAGATCAGCAGTTGTCACCTGTGCAGATGCTTTCTGGCCCTTTCCTTGCTTCTGCGTTTTTCTTTGCCGCGCATCTCGGTAATTGGGTGAGTGCGTAAGAGAGGGGGGACATGAGGCATCAGAAGTATCGCCAGCGCGAGTGGGGGTTATGGGCGCATGGTGGCGGCGTCGCTTGGCAAGGTTGTGGATATCTGGCCATGGCTCATCCTCTGACCCGCTGCTCATCGGCGGTGCCATGATCTCTTCGTCAAAGGGCGTAACTGGGCGGGCCAATGCTGGGAGCACTGGCGAGGCCATAGACGACAGGGAGCTGAGGTCTGATTCATCATCGCTTTCTGCAGCCTCGCCGCCAATGTCCTCTGGAGCGTTGCTTTCAGATGGCTCGTCGCGGCGCAATGACTTTTCGGGACGATCACTCGTGTTCTGAGCTTCTATGCTCTTGCGCTTGCGGGACTTGACGCTCGATGTGACATCGGGCTCCTGACCGAGGTCCTCCTCAATCGACTGCTGCACCTCGCGCCGGTTCAATGGCGTGGACTCTGCCTCTGGCGCAAACACCTCTCCGTCATCTTCGTCCTGGGCGCCCGTCCCCTCTTGGTCATCGTCGACATCCGAAGAATCGTCAGAAGGCCTCGGTGCGCGCGCCTTCTGCGCAGTCCCCAGAATACTTGGCTCCCGTGCTCGCCTCTTGAACGCGCCAATGTTGAAAGAAGAGCTTATGACTGGCGTTGCGCCCACACCTCGGCTCGGCGGTCGGATTGGTGCGTCATTGCCCTGAAGGCTGATGCTGGGAGTGCGGCCACGACGCTTGTGGCCCATTCCAAACAGACTCGACGTATTTGTTGACCGGTTGCCGCTGGCCGTGACGCTGCCGGGGATCTCGCTCTCGTCTAGACCCAGACTATCGTCGAGCGCGTTGAACATCTCGCTGTCCAGCTCCAAGCCCGTCAGGTCGCGTCGCTGCTGGGCAGGCGTCGCGTGTTCCTTCCTCCCAAGTTCAACCTGAGCATCTTCTGATGACGCGACTGCATTTGCCGAAGAGGTCGACATGTCTTCGCCAGCCAACCTCTGCATGGCAAGGTCGCGGTCGTGGCTCGTCTTCTGCAGAGCCTTCTTCCCACTCGCTGTAACGTTTGATCGAACCGCCCTCAGACGCTCGTGCTCGCGGTCGCTGTGGCTGTAGATATCGTCGCTGGACTTTTCGGAAGCGGGCGCGGGTGCGGGCGCATCCACGGGTTTGGCTGGTGCTGCAGCAGCGCGGGCAGGAGCGCGACGTGATCGCGTGGGGCGCGGCATGCTGCGCCGAAAGTTGGGACGTGGATGTGTTCAAATTATGATGGACCAGAGAATTTAGTCTTGGATCTGCGCAGACAATGAATCCAAGCCTGTGGGATAGTGGCGTGTTCGTTGGTCCAAGAGAAAGAAGTACGCGCGATGCAACTGTGTGTCGGGGGAGAAAGGCTGGGTTAGTGTTAACGTTCGCGATGGTGGGAGAAACACGAGACGCGTCGCGCCACGACTCCGAATGCCAAGCCCCACTCAAGCTCGCGCCACACACTCATACACCAACCCTGACTTTACCACAGCATCAATGACGACCACTTCTTTACATGCATGTTCATCCTTACGCTGTCGTCATGAGAATTACTCGTTGCGCACCGGAATGTCCGACGGCCGTAGGGCGACATTGGTGGTTTTCGAGCTGATAATATTCAGATCGAGACAACACGCCTCGGTCAATGATCAAGATCAGCTGGTCATCAACGAGTCAAGAGCCAGAAATTCAATACAGATATTTGCAGTAAGCTCTTTAACGGCCCTTCGAAAGAGACGTGTACACCTTTTTTGTGCCTCCAGACCCTTATCAGCGCCGAAGTCTATGTGACATGATTAAGAAATACAAGATGATACAGAAGGTATACAACATATAATCTTACATACGCGTCAAGCGTGTTTTTAGATGAGCGCCTGGCCCATAAACATTGCACGCTTGACCTCTGCGATAACGTCCTTCCGGTCTTTGCTCCCGGCCAGAACAATGCCCCTTCCACGACGACCCATCCGGCCAGCCCTTCCAAGTCGGTGGATGAAGTCAATGGTGGTGTGAGGTACGTCGTACAGGATGACATGACGGACAGCCAACGTGTCAATACCTCGCGACGCCAGATCCGTGGCCACGATAACCTTCACATTGGGGAGCTTGCGTCCGCCTGTGGGAGCCTTGTCAGAGGCGGGTGCTCGCATGGGCTCGGCGCTCGTAAAGGAGGCGAGCATGGCGGACTGGCGCTCCTGGGCCGTGTCCCTGTGCAGGGCGATGGCGTCGATGCCTTTAGACTGGAGGTACTCGGCTACAGGCTGCACAGTCTCGCGTTCGTTCACAAAGACGAGAACACGGCGTATATCGAACTCATCCTTGATGGGGCCCTCGTGGCGTGATGCCTCGCGGCCAATCGTTTGAATAGCATCAGCAGTTGCTAGGTCCTTGTTGTTGCGGTACGGGTCTTTGGAAACGTCGACAACACCCAACTGAACACGTCGCGGCACGGCGTGGAGGTTCGGCGTAGTGATGCGGACCATATCGGGGAATTGGGCAGCAAGATACTTGTCCAGGCCTCGGGGAATAGTTGCAGAACAGCATACGAGCCTCTTCACCGACGGCAGCGCCTTGTTGACGATGCTCGTGGTAAGGGGGGCGAAGCTACGGTCGAACAGAGAGTCAGCCTCGTCGATGATGAGATGGCTGACCTGCGAAAGGATGTTAGGGTCTGAGTCCGCGATGGAGGCCAACAGCTGCGGCGTCGCAATAATCAGATCGATTCCTCGGTTGGAGTACAGGTTGCGCTCCACAACCTCGGCGTTCTGCTTGGCCGAAAGCTTCTCAGACTTGAATTTGACGGCGTGCGACAATGTCTTGGCGACTGCGCCAACCTGGTCGACGAGTTCGGCGGAGGGAACGAGGACCACGACCTTGGGCCGTGCCATGGTAGGATGAGGCTCCTCCATCTTGGATCTCGACTTGGAGTTTCGCTGCCATTCCTTCTCTTCCTCCAGCCTCTTCTTATGAGCCTGAATATCAGGGTCCGCTGCTTCAGCAACCTTGATGGCGTTTATGGCGGGCAGCAGGTAGGCGAGCGTCTTGCCGGAGCCCGTTTCGGCCGCAAGGAGAAATTCCTGTCTCTGTTCCGTCTTGCCCCTCCCGAACCGAGGTAAGAATCGGCTTTGCTGGCCCAAAAGGGCAGGAATGGCCAGTCTCTGAACAGGAGTTGGTTTGATGTCGATCATGCCCTTGAGAGCGTCGTCAAACAGCGCCTTCTTGACTGATGGCAACAGGTCGAACTGATCGAACGACTCATACGAGCCCATTTCGTCTTTGATTTGTGTCCTTTTCCGGTACGAGATGTCTGCAAGCGCGCGATGCATCTTGAGAGCCCTGAAATCCTCGCGATCATCTCTGCGGCGTCGGTCGGCGGATCGATTGTGAGATTGGGTCGGTGTCTGGGAACGGGATGTCGGGCTTGGGCGTCCTCTGAACTGTGTTTGGTTCATGCCACCAAATGGGCCCTCGACGGCTCTTCTTGGTGGTTTGGCGTTTTTCAGCCCGAAGGGGGACGGGCGGGCGACTTGCTTGCGATCGGATAGGACCATTCGCGATGGCTTCCCCCGAATGGCTCTTTGCGATGCGAATCCTTGGGTAAGTGTGGTTGGAAGAGGCGTGGGTAGAGCCATCCGCGGCCGAAGGGCAAATCGGCAGAGAAGACATTGTGAACCCATCGTTCGAGGCGGCATATTGCTCTTCTCGGCCCTTGACCGTGAGTATGGATGGGCGGAATTGTTGAAGGGGGACTACACTTTTGGCATGAAGCCCATCAGAAACCAAGTGGCCGAAAATTTGGAGCTTCGGAGGGTCGCCTGAAGTCGCGTTAGCGTGTCTGCGCGCCAACGTGGACCCGCCGGAGTGCTCCAGCTGTCTCTCACCAGGTCCCATTTATGCCTTTGTCTTGGCATTCGATAAGCGTCTGATAGAGCTTATTATCGCACTGGGCTTTCCAGGCTGCTGTACCATGTTGTTATGTTGCCTGGAGATACCTATTGACAGATGAAAATCACGAACGATATCTGCGTGAAAGGAGCAAAAACATGCATACAGTTTACAGAGTAATAGGTCATGTCAAATTAGCCCGTTATTTCAGTCCCGTGGCGTCAAACCCAACCAAAAGCCCTGTAGGGAGAAAATACTTTGGCTCATGTGATGTCCTTCAGCTCATCATTCAACTTAGTCAGCCTGCCTGCTTGGCTGGGACGATGGACCTCGCTTGGGCCAGCCCATCCACAATGGACTCGACCATCTCTGCTAAGTGCTAACCACGTCACCTCGTTAAACCCCTGAACGGTTGTCTCACGGTTCCCCGGGTTGGAGTTAAATAAGCAGAGCATGTCGAAAAGTGCTGCAAATCATGAGTGCCGATCTGTTTGCCGAGTTTAATACCTTCTCTTCGAAGCCTCAAAGCCAACAATCTCAGCAGACAGGTCAACCGCATCCTGTTACCCAGCAACAACAAAAGGCGGATCCGTTCGACTTCTTCACGTCAAGCAATGCGTCTGCTCAAGTGAACCAGCCTGTCCAGGCATGGCCTCAGAGCCAGAACCAGAGCCAGCGCCAGAGCCAAACTGACAGCTTTGGTGGTTGGGGTGACTTCTCTTCGCTCTCAGCTTCACAAGTCAGTCAGCAGCAACCGCGACCGCCAGTTCCAGCGACCGCAGCAGAAGGCGACGATGACGATGGATGGGGAGATTTCGAGGTCGCTGAAGCGCCTCCAGAGCCTTCAAGAACCCTGGCTCTTGAGCCACCCATCGCCGCACCATTGCCTCCAGCCAACATCTCAGCACCGCCAACACGAACACGGGTCCACCGCGCTTCAACCTTGGATCTCATGACCAACAGTTTGGTACCTGTGGAAGGGCAGAGTGACCCACGCCAGCCTTCTCCCTCTCTTCTCAAAAGTGCCGTTGTTCAGGCTTCCAAACCCAAGCAGCCGAAGCCCAAGGACCCAAACGTTTTATTCGATGCGGAAGACTCCGATGTGGAAGTGGATGACGATGATGACTTTGGAGAGTTTGAAGTGGGCGAGACCATGTTTGCGCAGTCATCACAACAGCCAAGCAAGCCATGGCAGCATCAACCAAAGTCACCGCCATGGCACAATCATCCAAAGTCGCCCCCTTGGCACAATCAGCCGAAATCGCCGCCATGGCACAACGCGCCCCAGCCGCGAGAGCAACAGTCACAGGTCGCGTCATTAGCATCACTTGATCTTTTGTCGCTGGAGGACCCCCCTGCCACTCAACCGAAGAGACATGTCTCCCACTTGTCGTCACTCAGCGTCGCTTCATCTACTTCTACTTATCCACAGGCACCCAAGTCACCTTCTTTCTCCGACCGAAACCCTTTCCCTGGCTTGGCTCTGAAGACTCCCACGTCACCCAACTTTCCGAAGGAGCCAGCCAACAACCCTGAAAGCCCAACTCCTGTGACGGCGTGGCCAGCCCTTCGGCCGAACATCTCCAAAGAAGGAGGTTCAAAGCCAGAGCAAGGAAGCCGCTAACCCCAACGACCATTGGTTACCGTTTGAGGACTTCTCCCCAATGCCCGGCCAACAGAAGAATGACATCGATTCTAAAGAGCCTCCCGAGAGCTGGGATTGGGATGCTGTCGATGGAGTCGAAACGTCGTCTTCTAAGCCCGCTGTCAAGCCTATGGCCAACACAGCGCGCAAGGTTCAGAACGCAAACACCAGTGGTAGTGATGCTACTCCTCCCACGAACATACCACCACCTTCAGTGCTGCTCTCCATATTCCCTGAGCTTCTTGCCCTCGCCAACACGAGCCTGTTCAAGCCAGCCGCCTCTCAGCCAACGTCTATCAAGGACCGCATCGCCTCCGATCCAGGCACAATTGCCTTTCTCCAGGGGTACCTTGCCCTGCCGGGGTCGCTGCACGGATTATCGCAGGTCGCAAATTGCGCTGGCATCGTGACAAGTTTCTTGCCCAAGGAATGGCCATTTTCTAGCGCCGGCGCAAAGGGCATGAGGCTCGCCGGCGTAGATCGTGCGCAGACGGCTCGCGAAGACCGCGAGGCCGCTGACGTTGTTGATGTGTGGAAAGAGCACGTCGGTCGGCTACGGTCTGCAGTTGCGGCAGCCAAGTCAGCACCGGGTGGACAGCAATTGAGAGTACCAGACTTGGCAGAGAACATGGCTGTGACCACGGCCAAAGTCGTTCCGACGGCTCCTAAGGCTTGTCTAGTATGTGGATTGAAGCGTGACGAGAGGGTGGGCAAGGTAGACTTCGACGTCGAAGATAGCTTTGGTGAGTGGTGGGTTGACCACTGGGGACACCGGGCATGCAAGAACTTTTGGACTGAGCATGAGAAACAACTTCGCCAACGATGACGGGCGCGCGGGTGTTTATAGTCTTTTTTCGTACATAAATCTGACGAACAGCTACGTGGTGCAGTTGAAAACTCCATCAATGAGTTCAGGTGGCTCGTCATACTTGTCAGCATAATCCGACAATCTGGGCCCTGCCAGTCCAAGGGATAAGTCATCATGGCCGGCGTAGATATCATAGCAAGCCCGGAAAGCAATAATTGACCAGACACCTGGTTGCCGGCTGTAATCTCTCTACCTGGACGTCCTTTGAGGCCATGAGACCAGATAGAGTACGTGGGAGTCTTGCAAAGCAGCCCTGGGACTGAGCCATATTGAGCGGAAGCGGCGCTGCATTGACCTAGCCTCCAGGCAACACTGGCACCGAAAAAGCTTGCTTCAACCTCTATTCCTGTCATTGGCACTTTTAGGGTTGAACCGACCCATGCGACTGCCGAGACAGTCAGGCACGTTGAGTGGCCCAGGCGTTGGAATGCAGGAGCCACGAGCGAGGGAGGGGCATCAGAGGCCCAGGTACCATGCAATGCGTTAGCAGGAGGGGCAGGAAACATCGTACCCAGAGTGCTCCTACTACGTAAATGTACTTTCCGTCTAGTCTCGCTCAGTAGTGGTGGGAAAGTGACATGGCAGGAGCAACTGAGTGGGGCGGGTAGGTACTGTTCCATTTCGCCCGCTCTGCCGAGTTGTACCTGCCGTCTCTGTACCCTGCAACCATCACCTGGCTGTACCGGAACATTTCGTGCTCTTTTTCGCAATGAACGAGAGGAAGCACGAAGCGCAA